CAGTATTGTAGTCATTTATACTTCAGTGATGTAGTCATTTATACTTCAGTACTGTAGTCATTTATACTTCAGTGATGTAGTCATTTATACTTCAGTACTGTAGTCATTTATACTTCAGTATTGTAGTCATTTAAACTTCAGTGCTGAAGTCATTTATACTTCAGTATTGTAGTCATTTATACTTCAGCATTGTAGTCATTTATACTTCAGTATTGTAGTCATTTATACTTCAGTATTGTAGTCATTTATACTTCAGCAACGTAGTCATTTATACTTCAGTACTGTAGTCATTTATACTTCAGTATTGTAGTCATTTATACTTCAGCGATGTAGTCATTTATACTTCAGTACTGTAGTCATTTATACTTCAGTATTGTAGTCATTCATACTTCAGTACAGTAGTCATTTATACTTCAGCACTGTAGTCATTTATACTTCAGTATTGTAGTCATTAATACTTCAGCACTGTAGTCATTTATACTTCAGTATTGTAGTCATTTATAGTTCAGCACTGTAGTCATTTATACTTCAGTATTGTAGTAATTTATACTTCAGTATTGTAGTCATTTATACTTCAGCACTGTAGTCATTTATACTTCAGTATTGTAGTCATTTACACTTCAGCACTGTAGTCATTTATACTTCAGTACTGTGATCATTTATACTTCAGCACTGTAGTCATTTATACTTCAGTACTGTAGTTATTTATACTTCAGTACTGTAGTCATTTATACTTCAGTACTGTAGTAATTTATACTTCAGTATTGCACTGTAGTCATTTATACTTCAGTATTGTAGTCATTTATACTTCAGTGATGTAGTCATTTATACTTCAGTATTGTACTGCAGTCATTTATACTTCAGTATTGTACTGCAGTCATTTATACTTCAGTACTGTAGTCATTTATACTTCAGTATTGTACTGTAGTCATTTATACTTCAGTATTGTACTGTAGTCATTTATACTTCAGTATTGTACTGTAGTCATTTATACTTCAGTATTGTACTGTAGTCATTTATACTTCAGTATTGTAGTCATTTATACTTCAGTATTGTATTGTAGTCATTTATACTTCAGTGTTGTACTGTATTCATTTAAACTTCAGTATTATATTGTAGTCATCATGGTAGTCATTTATACTTCAGTATTGTACTGTAGTCATTTATACTTCAGTATTATGTTGTAGTCATCATGGTAGTCATTTATACTTCAGTATTGTAGTCATTTATGCTTCAGTATTGTATTGTAGTCATTTATACTTCAGTATTATGTTGTCGTCATCATGGTAGTCATTTATACTTCAGTACTGTAGTCATTTATACTTCAGTATTGTAGTCATTCATGCTTCAGTATTTTACTGTAGTCATTTGTACTTCAGTATAGTATTGTAGTCATTTATACTTCCGTTTTGTATTGTAGTCATTTATACTTCAGTATTGTACTGTAGTCATTTATACTTCCGTATCGTACTGCAGTCATATATACTTCAGTATTGTACTGCAGTCATTTATACTTCAGTATTGTACTGCAGTCATTTATACTTCAGTATTGTACTGTAGTCATTTATACTTCAGTATCGTACTGCAGTCATTTATACTTCAGTATTGTACTGTAGTCATTTATACTTCAGTATCGTACTGCAGTCATATATACTTCAGTATTGTACTGCAGTCATTTATACTTCAGTATTGTACTGTAGTCATTTATACTTCAGTATCGTACTGCAGTCATAAATACTTCAGTATTGTACTGAAGTCATATATACTTCAGTATTTTACTGCAGTCATTTTTCTTCAGTATTGTCATTTATAGTAAATTAAAGGGAACCCATTTTTCTTGCATTGTTTCGTGAAAAAAAGTAAAGAAATGTGTATTTTTCTTGGTGTTCAGTTACTTTTACAATTTTGTAACTCAGTAAGTAACTGAGATACTTTTTTGACAAAGTAATAAGTAACTATAACTAATGACTTTTAAAGTGACTTCCTAATGACTTCCTGGCAATATTCTAAAACTGTTTACTATAAGGGAGCGTGGATATAATTTGAGAGGGGAGTTAATTTTTTAACATCCTAGTATCCGAACAACATTAAAAAGTTTTTGCATCTCTGTATGCGGAGTGAAGCTGTGGAACAGACTAGGTAAAGATATGAAGCAATGTCCGAGCATGGTGCAGTTTAAAACGCGGTTTAAGGATATGGTTTTTGCAGGGTACAGGGAGGAGGTAGAGACTTGATTGGGTGTTCTCGTTGAGAATTTTTTTTTTTTTTTTTTTTTGCGGGGGCACGGGTATGATGGTATGTGTATATATATTGGTAGGTTGTGTATACTATGGAGTGTTACTGGGGATACTGAAATTGTGAATAGGTGTGTATGTGCATGTATGTAGATAGAAACATATATGGATGTGTACATGTCGGTATATCTATTTATTTCTAGATAATGGAAAAGGGGTGGAATTAAATAAGCTTATCCTTCTTCCTGCTCCTTTTTGAACATGAAGGTTATTAGTTGTGACTGCTCGTTTTCTTTTTCTGTTTGTTTTGAGGTACTTATTAGTCTCTTTGAATTCTACGTTGTTGTACTTTTTTTTTGCCTTGTTGTTTGTGTTTTTTTTTTTTTTTTTTTTTTTACATGTTCAAAATAAAATAAAGTAACGTCCCCAACACTGTCTCTGAGTAAGAATAGTTGTTTTTGGAAAAATGTGTGAATGCTTTAAACCATGTGTGACATCATCAATGTTCAATCTGTGTTTGTGTTAAAACTGATTAATATTCAATCATCCGGCTCTGACTGTGACGTATACCAGAGCTCTAGAGGTGTTCCCACCTGGTCACCAAAAGTGAAATCATCCCTAACTAAACCAGTTTGGACTTTGCATGTTGATTTTCTGAGTTTTGGAGCGTAGAAACTGACAAATGTTAACGGGAAGTAAAAGGGTGCTTCAGTGTTTGTGCAGGAGCGCCCTCAGATCCATGTGATGATGTTTCCTCCTGACGGACTGTTTCTGTGCCTTACACAGTTTTATTCTAGCACGTGTTCCTTTAGCTGTAGACATAAGACCCTTATGTGACCCTGATGCTGGTCACTTATCTGGACTCATGTGGTTTGTTTCAATCCAGCATGAGGAATAAATCACATTCAAGCAAATATGTTCATCAAGAAGGCAGTGCATGTAATTTATGGTTGAACGGACTGACTGACTGCAGAGATAATCTGTAGAGAAAGGACTAAAGAAAAGGAGTTTTAGATTAGTGTTAAAACATGCCATGTCTCTGCACATGCAGGAAACATAAAAAAAAGAGTAGCCAGGAAAAAGTATTATTCCTGTCTTATCATCTCTCAGAGCCACATGCCACATGTCTCATTGGAACAAAATGTGCATTTGGTTGCCTGACAGTCACACAGCCACAAGCGGGCTGCACAATCAGGACCACAGTAGTGAGTGAAGAAGCCACTGAAATGGCAGCATTATACGAGCGAGCATCTCAAACCATTAGGCCATGGCGGCGACAATGAGGCTTGTCCAGAAGTGTCACCTCTCCCAGTCTCTGTCTCCGTCTCGCTTGCTCTCCTTATCATCCCATGCCTCTCTCTCTCTCTCTCACACACACACACACACACACACACACACACACACACACACACACACACACACACACACACACACACACACACACACACACACACACACAGGAAGGACGTCTTTATTAGCCCTCTGTATGCCGGCTGTGCTCAGCCTGAGATTGCAGGTCTGACCCCTCGCTGTGAGCTGTACAGGGGAAATGTTTACTCAAACCCCGCAGAGCATGCCATTAACCTGGCTCTAGATAGAAGACAAACAAGAAAGTCCCTCCATGAGGGTAATAAAGACAGGAACACCAATCCAGGACCATCATGGCAATCATCTCATTATGAGTCTGCAGGAACCAGGGAGCGCGGTCTCTCTGGGATTCTTCCACCGCAGAGGAGCAGTGTGCTGAACATTCAGTGGCCTGTCTGTGATGCGCAGCCGTGTGCAAACATCAGATCCATCTAACAGTCAGGAACAACATGAAGGTCCACACATGCAGGAACCACCTCTGTCCCCAGTTTACAAACCTGCCCATGTGCGTAATCTCTTCCTCTTCCACCTCCCATCTTTTTCCTGGCTCTCACACAGCCTCCCTGCCCCTCCCTCCCAACCTCCGTCCCTAGAGATTTCCAAGGATTTCCTCTGGCTCTGATTAAAGCCCCAACCTGGGAGGTAGTCTAGGTGGTAAAAGGAAAGGAAGGGCAGAGGGGTCTGATGAGAAACCCGAGCACTGGAGTAGCTTCTTCTCAGATACCTGTGGGCGTTATTCAATCACGCCTCTAAAATTCCCCCAATGTTGGAGTTGAACCCCCCTGCTAACAGCATAAGCTCACGCTCATCCCGGATCGAGGGCCTCCTCCTGGGCGGGTTTAAGAGCCTACTACTGGGTTTGTTGTACCTGTGTCGTTTAAAGAGCCCAATTATTTTAATTGAAAAAGTCGCCTGTTGCCACAGGCAACCAGATAAAAGCAACAAAAAGAAAAACAGATAAAAATTAACAGGAAAAACACCAGATGGTGATATACACGGTAAAAGGGACTGCTTATACTTCCTGTTTGATTATCTGTGATAACGAGAGCGGGATTCCTCAGGGCAATTAGCGACTGAGGCCGCCATGTTGTGGGAGGACACGAGGAAGGACAGCGAAGGAGGAGGGCTCATCAAAAACTCTAGTGTAACAAGACGGTGCAAGGTGAGATGGGCCACTCACACCCTTTTAGTCTATCTGCAGGTGTGTGTGTGTATGTGTGTGTGTGTGTGTGTGGGGGGGGGGGGGGGTCAACATGATCAACAGAGTAGGCTGAGAAGAGAATCTGAAATGTCTCCGTCGGAGATCTGCACTAAGCGTACGATGGCGGCGTTCCTGCAAGGAGCTGGCTGCCCAGCAGGCTTGAGCCTGTGACGGGGGGGCAGATCGGGGACACTTACCCCTGGCAGGGTCTTCTGTTCATGGAGGGCGCTCTGGGCCTTCAGTGCTGACTCTCTCGCACAGTATGTTAGAAAGGCACATCCTGCAGGATGAAGACGAGAAGAACAGAGGACGTCAAGGTTAGACTGAAAATAAGACATTTGCTAAGAGTCACTTTAGGAGTTTCTGTTTATATTTAGAAGAAAGAAAATATCATTTCTATAGCGCCCCTCAGGATAAAAATCACGAGGAGCTTCACAAAAACAAAAAATAAAAAAAAAATTAAGTGTGTTTCTGCTGAAAATAATAATCACGACCTTGCCTTGTGTGGTTGGCTTTCTGAACAGCTTCTGTTTGGAGAAATAGCTTTAAAGAGTAAAATAACTCATAAATGATCTGAGTGAATGCAGCCTTCCCTAACCCTAGATGGCATATTTGAACAGCAAGTCGCCTAAATCTCATTGAAGTTTCTGCAAACATTATTGTCTAAATCTGCACACCACGACCTGCTTTGTTGGTGACCTCTGGAGCTGAAAGCGAGGCTGCCGTTTGCAGGCAGCACCAGTCCCTCGGACCACCACCAGCAGCTCCAACAGCAGGAGCAGACGGTCCCGCAGCCCCGCAGCTACAAGGCGGACATTTAACTCCTCCACCCTGCTGGATTTGTCCCTGGATGCACAAGAGGTGCTGGCGTTTGCTATCTGTTGGTAGGGTACACCAGAGGTGTGACCAAGTCACTGCTTTCCAAGTCACAAGTTAATCACAAGTCTTTCCAGTCAAGTAGGAAAGAGAACGAAAAAGATCATTTCTATAGCGCCTCTCAAGATAAAAATCACGAGGTGCTTCACAAAAACAAAAAATGTAAAAATATAACAAAAAATTTAGAAAATGTTTAAAAATATATTTAAAATGAGCAAAAAATAGACAATTACGATAAAAAATGTAAAGAAAGAGAGAGAGTGAACAGGAAAGAGGGAAACCAGTGGATCCTGAGGAAGGTGGAATAGGTGGGGAGAGCAGAATAAAGAGAGAGAGGTGAAGAAGGTCATACAAAAGCCAGCTTGAACAAGTGAGTCTTCAGCTGCTTTTTAAAGGAGACCACTGAGTCCACTGATCTCAGGCTCAGGGGGAGAGAGGTCCAGAGTCTGGGGGCCACAGCAGCAGATGATCTGTCACCTTTGACCTTTAGCCTGGTGCTGCACAACCAGTAGGCTTTGATCACTGGACCTCAGGGACCTGCTGGGGGTGTAGGGACTAAGAAGATCACCAATGTAAGATGGTGCTTGTCCATGTAAGGCCCTATAGACCAGAACCAGGATCTTTTTTTTAAATTTTTTTTTATTTATTTATTTATCTCAAACCATCGAAAACATGAAATTGCATATGCACTCCCCCATATTCCTGGTGCATACAAAAAATTTTTTTTTTTTTTAAATGAGGAATACGATAAACATATGCTGTTGAATGAAACAATACAAAACATACAATAACATAAAACCATTTGAGAGGGAACTGGAAGAAGCAAAAGCTTATCTAGTCCAGCCCCAATTCAGTTAATAAATCACATTTGCTCACATTAACAAACTTGAAAGAAAAAAAATTTTTCTTTATGCAGGTCGTTCTATCTTCACCTTGCTAGTTGCTACATAAAAAGACAGTTACAAAACAATTGTTCACATGAATCTACAGAAAAAGAAAACAAAACCAATAAACAACAAAAACAAAATATTCCATTTGAAGCCAATTACCATTTTTATCACTTGCTATTTATGTATGAGTCAATTATAAGTTGTTTATACAACATTTTAAATGATCTAATGTTTTTACATAATTTTAAAGTCACATCAAGTTTGTTCCACAGTTTGATACCACATACAGATACACACATACTTTTCATAGTTGTTCGGTATAATGGAAAAATGAAGTTTTTAACGCCTCTCAATTCATAACCCTCTTCATGAGTTTTAAACAACCTTTGCAAATTACACGGCAGTACACCCATCATGGCCCTATACGGTACAAGGACAGTTTTAAATTGAATTAAGTCAAAAAATTTGAGTAATCTTAAATTGTAGAATAATGGAGTTGTATGATCTCTATATCCAGAATTTATAATTATCCTTACCACTCTTTTTTGGAGAACACAAATCTTTAATAAATTAGATTTATAAGTATTGCCCCATACTTCGACACAATATGATAAGTATGGTAGAATCATAGTACAATAAAGTGTGTGTAGTGCTTTCTGTGGTAGAGAATATCTTGTTTTATTTATTATTCCAATGCTTCTGGCTAATTTAGAACACACATATTGTATGTATGGCTTCCAACAGAGCTTATGATCAATCAATATCCCCAAAAACTTAATTTCATACACTCTTTCAATGGCTATTTCATTAACAGTCAAATAGATTTCTTTACTACTTCTTTTATTTCCAAATAACATAAACTTTGTTTTGCTGACATTTAACGACAGTTTGTTTTTATCAAACCAATTCTTAAGCTCACTCAATTCATTCTGGACCTTTAGTATAAGTTGCTGTATATCTTCTGCTGAACACAAAATATTTGTATCATCAGCAAACATAATAAATTTAAATAATTTTGAAGTTGTGTAAATATCATTTATATATAACAGAAATAACTTTGGGCCAAGTACCGACCCTTGCGGAACTCCACAGTGAACTTCGAGACAGCTAGACTTGTGATAGCCCAACTGCACATACTGAGCTCTGTTACTCAAATAACTTTTTAGCCAATTGAGAGCTGTCTCCCTTATACCATACTTCTCCATTTTTGATAAAAGTATTTTGTGATCGACTGTATCAAAGGCTTTCTTCAAATCAATAAAAATTCCCAGAACATATTTTTTCTGATCAAGCGATGTGGATATGTCTTCAACCAATTCCATTAGAGCTTGTGCAGTAGATCTACCTGATCTGAAGCCATACTGACTGTCTAATAAAATGCCATTTTTTTCTACAAATTTTTCCAGCTTATCATTGTAAATCTTTTCCAATATCTTTGAAAACTGAGGTAACAAGGAGACCGGTCTGTAGTTTGTAAATTGATGCCTATTGCCAGACTTGTAAAGAGGAACCACCTTAGCCACCTTCATTTTATTTGGGAATATTCCTGTTTTAAATGATAAATTACATATATACGTGAGTGGTTCGACAATACAATCAATAGTTTGTTTAACTAAAAACATATCTATGTCATCTCCATCTAATGAAAATTTTGTTTTACATGCTCTGACAATTTTAAGAATATCCTTTTGAGTCACTTCTTCAAGTAATAATGAATCCGCCACACCGTCTCCGTCACCATAACCATTGGATTCAGAGTCCACATTACTATTTATTTTGTCAGCCAACTTTGGACCAACCCCAACAAAAAATTAATTGAAGTGTTCTACTGTCAACTGTCTATCATAAATATCTCTGTTATTACTGACAAAATAATCTGGATGGTTTAGACCGTCACAACGCTTCTTGATTATTGTATTTAACACGTTCCATATTCCTTTGATGTTACTTTTATTCCTTTCAATCAAATTACTGTAATAATTCCTTTTACACATCCTCATTATATTAATTAATTTATTTTTATATGTTTTATATTTTTGCTCCGCTTCTTTAGTTCTGTGTGATATAAATAGCTTATATAATGTGTTCTTTTTTTTACAAGCATTTTGGATCCCCTTTGTCATCCACGGCTTCTCTGAATATCGATTTCTACAACTATGTCTTATCATCGGACAATGCTTATCATATATACTTTTGTAAATATCCAGAAATAAGTTATACGCAATATTCACATCATGTTCACTATATATATTACTCCAGTTAACATTACGTAGTTCCGTTTTTAAATTTTGTAAATCTTCTTCCTTTCTTCTCCTTTTATACATTAAAGTTTTAGCTGGTTTTACTTTCTTTGGATGGCAGTCGTGGATAGCAAATACAGGGAGATGATCTGTTAGGTCTGTTATCAATAGTCCACTATGCATAATACTTTCTACATTATTAGTAAATATATTATCAATAAGAGTGGCACTATCAGCAGTTATTCTACTTGGTTTCGCAATGAGGGGAACCATGCTCATACTGTACATTAACTCAAGAAATTCATCAGTTTTCTTATGTGCTGTAGCTTTCAGTAGATCTATATTAAAGTCTTCACACACATATGTTATCTTACTTTTGTTTAACATTAAAATACTTTCCATTGTAACAATAAATGTGTCAATGTCACTTCCTGGTTTCCTGTATACACAATAAATCACTATGTTTTTTGTTTGCTTAATACTCACTTCAATGGATATACATTCCATAACTTCATCAATAACCATAGACAAGTTTTCAGTAAATTTATATGAAAGGGACTGATCAATGAAAAACGCAACCCCTCCACCCTTTCCATTCCTATTGATACAATGGAAATTGTAACCTTGCAAGACAAAATCCTCACCGTGCTCTGAATCTATCCATGTTTCTGATATTGCAATGATGTTAAACGGCCTCACAAAATTATCAATATAATCTTTAATATTCTGAAAATGAGCATAAAGACTTCTGCTATTAAAATGAATGATAGATAAGCCATGCTTTGACCTTTAGCCTGGTGCTGCACCACCAGTAGGCTTTGATCACTGGACCTCAGGGACCTGCTGGTCTCGAATCAAGTCCAAATCAAAGAAAACCAAGTCCAAGTCGAGTCCAAACTCAATGAAGTGGAAGTCCAAGTCAAGTCCAAATCCTTAACTTTGAATTTTCAAGTCATAATCAAGTCATCTACCCAACTTCAATTTAATGACAATGATAATAAATAAATTCCAGAAATAAATCTTCTTAAAGCTTCGTTTATTTACTCAAACAAGCAGAAACTGAAACTGAGTATAAACAAAGAGCCGCTGCATTTAGCAGGAAATCTCACCCAGAACCAAGAATGATTCATGATTGTTGTCCATGTCGGGCAGCTTTTGTGCTAAAATATCAAATATGCTCAAGTCATCATCAGGTCAACAGCTGCAAGTCGATTCAAGTTGCAAGTCATTGGCGTTCAAGTCCGAGTCAAGTCGTAAGTCTTTGTGGATTTTAT